GTTTGTGTGGAGGGTGACCACAATGGGCACCACTGAACTTGACTCGAAGCTGTTGAGACAGCTGCAGAGGAAGTTGTTGATGACTCGTTCAAAAATTTGCCGGCCACCAGTTCTAATTGCCTTTGCGTTGATTCTCAGGGTAGGACTCTGAAAAAAGCACAGGATTTTTCAGTGACTGGCTTCATGCAGGGGAAATATATGAGCAGGTCCTCTCCACCCTTTCAGTTAGCGATCAAGTGCCCTGGCCTTTTGGACCACACGGGCCTTCCTCTATGCTATGCCCAGACCTACACGTTGAGAGAGCAGAGAAGCAATCCAGGGTCGTAGACACGTTTGGTTTGGCCTTGGCCTCCTGAGGAAGGCAATTCCACCTCACGGTGACCTATAGACCAGAGTGAACTTCCCTGTAGGGTTTTCTAGGTTGTGGTCCTCATGGAAGGAAGAAGCAGGTCTGCCTTCCACAGAGGCACTGGGTGGTTTCAAACCACCAACCTTGTGGTTGGCAGTCTATTCATTAAAAAATCAAAGTGGGGTGTACACCAGTAGATATTGTCACATAGTTTCTTTCCAGGGCAGGGTCTTTACAAGCCTAAGACGCCCTTGGAGCTGACTTTCAATCAAACACTGAGTGTTTATAACTATGAACATAAGGGAGGTTTTGCCCATGATCGGGCAGTGGGTGTTGGGGGGAATGACCATCTAAATTTGTGAAGAGAAGGTAGCATATTATATAATATCAAGTTGTTGTGTATTGAGTTCTCATACTGGATGTATTGTTGTGGGTGAAGACACAATTTCTATTTGAGGTGTATTTTACAAGTGAATGTAAAAATTCTACACTAATGACGATTCCCCTGAAGCTTGTGACACAGCCAAGTGTCTGTGGGCCTGTCAGACAATCCCTCCCCCAAAGAGAGGACATGCATGTTTCTAGCAAAGGCCAAGCTTGCTGTAGTCCGACAGCAATCGCCTTTCCAAGAAGCCCTCCTGTCACGCATGCCAGCGACCACAGGGACCTCGAGGAAAAAGCTTTATGTGGTGCACACCCTCCCCTCCCCTTCATCACAGTCCTGGGTGGTGGGGGTCGCTGCAGGCAGTGGCTAGCTGGCCAGGTTTCTGAGTACTTAATCTGTGCTGGGAGACCAGGAGGGAGCACCAAGGTTAGTGGGGAGGCAGGGCTCTACCGGTCAGCTTCCTGCCCTGAGAAGAATGAACTTCTGGGAGCATTTGTAAGACAGGATAACAGGGTGCTGTGGAGCCATGCTGGGACCTGAGAATAAATCTGGGGCTCCAGGAAGGCTTGTTCAGGGACTAGTGCTTCAGAGATACCGGCAGGATGGTATGAACAATTAGGGATTACTTTTTCTTCCCACCTCCATGTGCACTGCAGCAGGTTTGGTTGTATCTGTGTGTTGACTGGTGTTGATGGAGGAGGCGGTCTTGTGAGCTGGTGCAGAATTGTGGTCCTCCGCTAGCCGAAAGATCTGGAGACCTTTTGTTTCAGGGAGATCACTGCCATGTCTACCCAGCTCTCTGCTGGAGCACATGAGCTCAACCTGAGTGGAAATCAACTCACCAGCCGCAGATCCCCTCTGCTGGTGTAGACCAGTGTTCCCTCAGTGGGCCACACCGTCCTCTGGGGGCCCACGGAATGAGCCAAACCCAAACCACAGAAACCATCTCTTGGCCATTGAGTCCATGCTGAGTCCTGGAGACCGGTGTGGGGACGGGGCTGTGAGAGCAGGTTCCCACACTTCGTTCTGGAGAAACTGGCCCCTTTCCACTCCCCCAAACACTTACACTTTCAGAAATGCACTGGGGCAGTTTTACCCTGCTCTGTAGGGTCGCCATGAGACAGAAAATCAACTTTGTGGCCCTGAGGTGTTTTGTTTTGTTGGGGGAGGAGCTCTAGGAGCCCTGGTGGCGTAGAGTGGCATCTTGGGCTGCTAACCTCAAGGTCCGTAGTTGGAAACCACCAGGCACTCAGAAGGACAAAGATGAGGCTTTGCCAGTCCCCTAAAGAGTGAGTCTCAGAAACCTGCAGGAACACTTCTTCCCTGTCCTGTAACGTCTCAATGAGTTGGGACCGACGCAGTGACAGTGGGTTTAGTCTCATCTTTGTGCAAAAGTTTTCACTGCCAAGGGGTCCCTGAGGTGGTTTTTCCTGTTTTTGTTTTGTTTTGTTTTCGGAAAAGGAGGCGGTAGGCCAAATAAGACGGGAGCTCTTGATGGGGAAGCTGTACACCAGCACCCCGCTCCTCTGGGAGGAACTAGATGGTTTGCTTTGCGGGTTTGCACGCAGGATTCGATCTCTCTGAGTTCAAGCAAATGAAAGAGGAGCTGTGTTCCGCCATGGTTTTAATTCGTGTTTATTTTACCTGAGAGCTATACCACACAGAATTAAAAGAAAAGGATCGATTGATTCTGCACGTTGCTCAAAGTCCTTCAGATAATCTTTGATTCTTCTTTTTCTCTTTTCTTTGATTCTTCTTAAAGTGAGCTCAGCCGTCTCATACGCTGGCCACTGTGAATCACAGTTCTCTGAATCTCGCCTCTAGCAACCTGAAACGGTCGTTTGAGAATCCCACAGGTTTCAACGCTCTGAAACATTAGGGAAGCTTTACAGAAGACAAAATTCACTCATTTGGAATTTTTGGTATAGCATATGGATGTGATTTTAGATGTCGGCTTCTGTGTTGCTGAGCCCTGGTGGTCTAGCGGCTTGTATTGGGCTCTGTCCTCGTGCACTGACGATATTAGCAAATGAAGA